TAAACAAATTTCCATTTCGTGTAGAATACTAATTTAAAATCAGAAAAAAATGTTGTAAATCAAACTATTTAACGGTAAGGCTTTATAAACTGGTGAAAGATGCAGAATAAAATTACGAATAAAATGATATATAAATTGTTAAGTGTGTTCATATAATTTTCTCGAGATTATCTAGTTTTCCTGAAATTTTACGATAGCAACTTGCCTGTAGGCCACACCGTGCGGAATTCAAAGTTGCGATATATGGGAAAAAAACTAATAATTTTGAGACCTTTCTAACGATGTATAATACTTTATATGTTTTCTTTACAGAAATATCGAATCGTGGGGAGTGTTGCTCTAACCTTTGCACTTTGCATTTTGACAAGTCACCACACAGATTGCTCTCTACTATCTAAACCGTAAAAGATACGAAAAAACTTTGTTCGTACGAAAGATTCAGAATAAAATAACAAATCAAACGATACATAAATCGTTATGTGTGTTCATATAATTTTCTAGAGATTTTCAAAATTTCCTTTAATTTCAACAGTGTGACTTGCTCATAGTCTAAACCTAATATTTCTGTAAAATTTTGTAATAAGTTTTCATTATTTCAATTTTCATAATAATTCTGTATCTCATTTATTTTCTAGTAGTTTCAAAAATGAAATTTTGTTATTAATTTTTATTAATATTATCATCCTTGGTCAACAGCAATCAGATCCTAATAGCTTTTATAAGATCTTGTGATTATTGATCGTCTATGTTTTAGAAGCCAACCAAAACCCAATGGTTGGCCTATGCACATTTTATATATATTTTTTATTAGAATTTTGTGATATATATTTTTTTTAATTTGAGGCAACAACGCCGGAAAAGAGTTATAATTACTTATTAGCATATTTAGATCTATATTTTAAGTTAAATCTGATATTACTACTGATCAAGATGAGCTTCGAACCTGGAGCTTTGTAGTTACTAACCTTTCCATACCGAGTCACATAGATGAACTATGCTCATAATTATTTGGAATTCTACAATTGTCGAATGGCGTGATATTTTAATATGAATTTCTAATCTGCCTATCAAATGAGAACGACTAACATTACAAGTTTAAGTTATTTACTTTTTGTATTACGCACACATTCCAAATCCGACGTCTAGTCGACTCGCATAAAAATTAATAGAGATATATAAAATAAATTCGTGTTCGGGTTAATAAAATATATTAGCTCAAGCAACAAGCAAGGAGCAACGCTCTAGACATAATTCGGAAACATTGTAATTTTCGTAATTTTTGAAGTAAAACTTCTTTAGGCGCGACTAGGATGTGAATCCGTACAAATGCAACGGAAATGCGTTACGGCCGAGTCGAGTACCAATGATTGTAGCAATGATTACCGCTCTCGATGATACGATTTCTATACGGGTCGATTGTGATTAGTCGTCGTGTATGTGAATAGATTTCTGTTGTTGTGTGCGTACCGGCATCAATGTAGTATGCGTACCGGTATCAACAAGAATCGGCATAGATAGATAAACATTTTAGTAAACATCGTAGTACAAATTTTTAATTTAATAAAAAATGCCTGAATCAGAAGAATATGTTACCCTGTTCATTGAAAATAATAAAACAAATTAAACATTCGTGTGGTGTACTAAACGTAAGTTTATTGATTAGAAATAATTTTTATACTATTCGTAGTTTCTATAAATCTTTGAAGTTAATAAAATGGAAAATATTTTTTAGGCAAGTCAGATATAACAGCTGTTCAAAGAATGAGATTATATCGATCAGTCAATGACTGTATGTTAATTTTAATTACATGAAGTTTTTTAAACACAATTACATGATGAGTGAAAATGCGAAAACAATATTTGTTTAAGCTTTTTTTAACATAATCCACCGTGTGAACAAATATTAAAGAATTTATTAATCAACAATTACTTTATTTCTCCAATGAAGGTTCATTTCTAATTACAATAACAAACCGATCATGTCATATTTGAAGTATGGCTTGAATTAAATTGTTTTTTAAATATTATACATATTTTTAATGCTATTATAAATATATAAATCATAATTTATCATTATATAAATGTGTATAATGGTTGACACTAATAAATATGTGCATCACGAGTGTTACCATATTACTGATAAACATTATTCAAAATTGTTATATGATGTATTTATTTTTACTTAAATGCCATCTTGTACAGTAGCAAATCAGTTTTACTTCAATCGCATATGAACTTTACGCGCTCTCTTTTTTATTACAAGTATTTTCTAATTTAGAAGCCAATTCTGCGGTGAAATAGAAATGTTACTACAACATACAATGCTATATTAATTACTGTTCTATATTTCTATTAATTAGTAGTACAAATTGTGAAAATGCTATGTATTTGATGTGCATGAAATAACAATTTTTTCACAAGTGCATCTTTATCATAAAGTTAAGTTCTATATGTAAAATGCTCGATCAAACAGCAAATACATAAAATGTTAAGTTTTTATTACCAACTCATACGAAGATAGGACATGACTATTAATGTGATAAAACACAAATTTGTAATTGAATATTACTTATTTCATAAATTTTCTTTATTTCAGAATTTCTGTGTAACCATACTCTTCTGTGAAATTGCGCAATTGGCAAAACTCTATCTGGACTAAAGCTGGAACACCTGAAATATGTAAGTGCTTAGGTAATATTATATATTTTTATTACTATTATATATAATATATATATATATATATATATATATATACATATATATAGATCACAGTTGATACAATACTAATAAACATTATAGTAATTATATTACTTATAGATTTTAGTAATCTTTTCGTACAATTATCTAAAAAAATTAACGTTAACTAATTTTTGAAGTCATCGCATACAATTTAATAACTATGTACAAAAAGTTTATTGTACAAACTATACTAAAATGAATGAAACAAACTAAAATGTATTTTCTTCATTGTATTTTAAGATATATACATTTTGGTGTACTACTTAATAACATTAATAGGTGCTTCATATACAATTGAGAATTTTGAACATTTTTCTTTGAAAACTTGTACCAAAAAGATTAGCCATGGGTAGTAAGAAAATTGTAAATAGTTGGTTGTTATCTTCTAAACTACTTCATCTTCGAATTTTCATTATAATATTATAGCATCTCTCTAATCATGAAAAATTATAGAGTCCGGATGTTCCATCGCTTCATCTAAAGATTGTTGCTTGATCCTATCAGGCAAATTGCACCAATACTGATGAACGGCTTTCTCAGATGTTATTTTAAATAAGTTATTTACAACTTCAATGGTCACTGTCCCACTTTTTAGTTCTCTAAGAACAGCAAACCTGGACCTCCGAAGATACTGTTTCAACTCGCCTCCTTCCATATTAAAGTACTTGACCTGCAAGTACTTCCCTTGGCACGTACCGGTTGCACCAATTGTGGCATCCAGTCCGTGAATCAGCCAAACTTCTAGAGTTATTGTCTCCAACGTCCCGTGAATAGTTTTTTCTTTCTCATCAAATTTGGTGCGGTAACGGTCATTGTTTATTTTTAATTAATTATTTATACTTTAGTTTATTTATTATTTAGATTAGTAAATAATTTACGATTAAACGTTTACGTTTTTTATTTCGTTTATCTACTGATTATACTCAATGCTAGTTTGATTTTAGTTTCCATAGAAACAAATTACGTTGACACATTTCATAGATGAGTTGATCTGCATTGAATCGAAAGACAAATAATTGATCAATTAAAAATTTGATTTAAGTTCTTTAGCAAAATTCAATAGTGAAATATCTAACAAAAAATAAATTTAATCATTCGAAATTTAATTGTAATTTTAATATACGTCAAATTGGATTGAACTATATCGCTACGGCAGTATTTTGCACAGGAGTGCCAAATTCTATACGAGACATTTACACACAAAATGTTTTAAGATTTCTAATCATTATTAATAGAAATGTATACATGACATATTTATGATTAAAAGTTTTTGAGAGAACGGAGCATCCGATTTGAATGATATAAAAAACATTCAATTAGTAATGGGAGAAGTGTTTATAAGTTTTTGGCAAAAGCAGGCCCAGCCATTTCGAAGATACAAAGCTAAATGTGTAAAAAATGGCAGTTTTGAGAGAACTAAGCGTCCGATTTAAATGATTCAAAGAACTTTCTGCTTGTCTCAACAAAATCATTGATTTTGAGAAAAAAAAAATTGTTTCAACTTTTTTTTTTCAAAAAAAAATTTTTTTGTATATCGAAAATAATTCAGATTTTATTTTTAATTCTGACTATAGTTCTAATATACTTTAAACAAATAATTTCAACTTTGCAATTCAGATTATATAATTCTTATAAATATTAGACAATGTTACAATATTTATTTATAATAATCTATTTGAAAACATTCAAAATTCCTCGAACATTTTGTTACGGTATGGGAAGTTCCAGCAATCTGCCTTAAGGCACGATGCCATACACCACTAATTTTAATTAATGTTAACATGCTAATGTACATATTTTTTTTTGTGCATATAATTCAAAATTACATAAAATTACTTGAATGCCACACTTCAGATCTTTATGCTGTTCATTACTATTTAAAAATTAAAAAAAAATACTGCAATTTTTTTTTGTATTTTTATTATAAAAAATGCATTGGTTTCATAGAATGAACATAAAAAAATTTTGAGTGGGTGTTCCAAAATAACAAAACACTGTAAATATACTCACTTCAATGATCTCACAAATTGTCATGTAAAATTACAATAAAAATACTTATAAAAATTTTGTAAAAAAAATATTAAAATATATAAAACATGAAAAATGATTTTTAGAAAATTACAAAAATAATTTTGATACAAACTATAAAAATGGAAAAGTAAAATATGAAAAAAATTAAAATATATAAAATGGCAGGTATAAAAAAACTGTTAAAAAAAATAAACTAATAAATTTTCGTCGAACTCAAAGTAATGACGCACTGTCTTTATCTTGGGAATCTGGAGGATCAGGAGATCTTGACGTGTGTTCTAGCTTTACACACTTGTCGGCTTTCTTAGGTTCTTTGGTAGACTTAACGGAGCCGGTCGTGCTCGAAGACCTTTCTCGCTTTCGGCCGCCCTTTTTTGTAGGTTTTCTGGACCTCCTCGAGCCGCCCTCTCTGGTGCTGGAACTTCTTGAGGTTCTCTCTTTTGTAGGTTTCCTGGACCTCCTCCTTCTACTTCTGGTGCCACGGTTTCGAGTGCACCTTATACAACAAGTGCATTTGGGCTCTGATCCGGCATTTGTTGTTTTATTGAAGAGTCTCCGATCACCTGCAATATGTGCGATATCACATTAAAATGTAGCATGATGAGGGAATAAAGAATTAGTTACACAGGTTCACGAAATGAAAACGAAGTTGAATATATTGGGTATGCATGATGTGATTTACGAAGTTAAAATTGGAGGTTAGCATGCAAAAACGATGATAAATAAAAAAAAAATCCGACAAAATAATTTATCTAGAACACTTTCCACATAATAATTATAATTTTAAAATTCTTGTGTTTTTCTCCTTAAATGAGTGCAAAGCTTGTTACCAAAATTTGAAGAGTTTTCATAGAGATAATACCACATAAAAAACAAAATGTAAACAATTCATCAGAATTTTAATTTTATATATATATATATATATATATATATATATATATATATATAATATTTGTTATTAAAATTATGAAGTTGACACAAGTTAGTTAAAATTAGTGCATGGCTTTTTAGGCATTTATTTAAATTTTTTTAACGTTATTGAACAGCACTCAGAACATGTTGTTAACACTTACGGGACGGCACCGATATCAAAACAATCTACTGTACCGGCTGTGAACTTGATTTCATTGTGTATGTTATGCAATTTGTTTGATAACTAGCTGTAAGTGGAATTCTGTCTTAAGGCAATTAGGGCATCGTGCCTTAAGGCAAATTGCGGGAACTTCCCGTACCAAAAATTATTATTTTTTTAAAAACGATTAACATTTTTGAAAAAAAATTACTTCGAAATGATTATTGAGAAACTAGGAATATGACAAAAAATTACTTTTTTTGAAAAAAAAATTTTATTTGAAAAAAAAAAAATTTTTTTGAAAGAAAAAATTTTTTTTTGAAAACAAACTATTTTTTATTGAAAAGAAAAATGTTTTCTTCATTTTGACATATTTTGGAAATTCTGAACTTTTTTCAAAGCAATCGTAGTGCTTGAACTGCATAGAGACGAATTGTCACAGCGCAAGTGCCGCGCCGCCGTCTAACGCATAAACATTGGTACGGAACCCATAGAAATGTAAAAAAAAACTAGCTGTAAGTGGAAATTCTGTCTTAAGGCAATTAAGGCATCGTGCCTTAGGCAATTGCTGGAACTTCCCGTACCAAAATTTTTTTTTAAACAAACGATTAGAGTTTTGAAAAAAATTTACTTGAAAATAAGATTTTTGAGAACTATATATTGGACAAACAATTACTTTTTTTTTGAAAAAAAAAAATTTTTTTTATTTTTTTTTTTAAAAAAAAAAATGTTTTATTTTATTTTGACATATTTTGGAAGATCTAAACTTTTTTCAGAGCAATCGTACTGCTTTAACTGCATAAAGAAAAATATCAAGCCCGTAACGCCGCGTCGCCGTCTAACGTGTAAACATTGGTACGGAACCCATAGAAACATGTAAAAAAAAATTTATACTTATTGTTAAAATCTCTATAAAATATTTGATAATTTGATGTGCATATTCTAATGATATTTTTGACCGCCAATGGCATTTTTTTTACTTTTTTTTTTTCATCAGATCCCCGAAACCGTTAGCCTGCCTTCATGAAAATTTGATCATTCTTTATCTTGTCAATACAAGTAAAATGTTGTTTTGAAATATTCAAACGGACGCTCCGTTCTCTTAAAAACTGAGTTTACCGTTTTCGGCACTTTTTGCCCCGTATCTTTGGAACGGCTAGACCTAACTTCGCCAAAAACTAATCAGCACGTCTCCTTATTAATACGAATCGAATGTTTTTTGAATTATTCAAATCGGTTGATCCGTGTTCCCGAAATCGTCGACGAAAATTTGTATCCGCACATACATACACACGCACATACATACATACATACATACATACATACTACATACATACAGCACCCCACAACACACACCCACACATACATCCATTTTTTCTAAGGTAATGCCAAAATGTTCAGAAACCTCTGAAACGTAAAGAATATAACCTTTTCATTTTCGATTTTTTTGCGATTACTATAACTTGCCCTACGGAAGTTAATTATACCCATTGTTTAAAATTTCTATAAATATCTGATAATTTTGATGTGCATTGTCTAATCATCATTTTTAACCGCGATGGCATTTTTTTTTTTAACTTTTTTTATTAGATCTCCGAACCGCTAGACCTGCCTTCATGAAAATTTTTATCAACTCTTCATCTTGCCAATACAAGTAAAATGTTTTTTGAATTATTCAAATCGGACGTCCGTTCTCTTAAAAACTGAGTTACCGTTTTCGCACTTTTTGCCCACGTATCTTTATAATGGCTAGACCTAACTTCGCCAAAAACTAATCAGCCGTCTCCTTATCAGTATGAATCGAATGTTTTTTTGAATTATTCAAATCGGTTGATCCGTGTTCCCGAAATCGTCGACGAAAATTTGTATCTGCACATACATACACACACATACATACATACACACACACATACACACACACACATAATCCATTTTTCTAAGGTATGCCAAAATGTTCAGAAACCTCTGAAACGTAAAGATATATAAAAATTTTCATTTTCGATTTTTTTGCGATTACTATAACTTACCCTACGGGAAGTTAAAAATTTGTGGTCATTGAAGGACATACATTTATAATATTAATTTATTTTTGATAATTTTATAAAGAATGGTGACGTTCAAACAATTGTCTGTATGAATGTCTATTTGAAACTCATCTTCAATACTGTACTATTGTAAATAGTAACAACATTTACCAGTCGTTTTGCCATATGTAAAAGCGCTCGGTCGTTTTAAATGTTAAAAAAAGACTATATAGCAAAGAAAAAGGCTAAAAATACTACTAAAATAACTTAAAGTATTTTCTAAATACAACATGTTTATCACTGCTATATGTAATTTATTTAATGTTTCGATGCAAACTGAGTCATTGTTTATAAAATAGCCTGTGTCTCACAGACTATATTGTCCACTCAGGTGGACAGCCCGTCCCCAAAGATTAATTCATTTAAATTTGACGACAAATCGTAAACCTAGTGTTGTTTTACAAAGTCCTACGAATGAAATTTTCTTTCATTCAAAGCAATAACAGATAAACTAAATAATTGTCATTTATTTATCAGATTTCTTTTATTATAACCTTGGTTTTGAGAGCATTATGTAAAATATGTGCTAGGGTAAAGTGGGAATTATTAATTAAATCTTAAAACTCTGTACAGTTATTATTTTCATCAAAAATATTTGAAAGTAGAGGGAAAAAGATGTATAATTAGCCATC